CTTCTTCTTCAAGCGATAGCTTTATACGAATAGCTAAACACACAAAAGATCAGTTATTTCTGACTTTGTCTAGAGCCAAACTTCATAGAAGGTAGTTGGTTGTTCATAGTAAAGGAATGCATATGGGAAAAAGTACCAATTCTTGGCTCACATTTTTTCAAGCTTTTTCACTTTTCTTTCTTTTTTTTAGAGGGTTTTGATTGGTGCAAGAGTTTCAATCAAAAAATATAAAAATAAACTCAAGGCTGATATATATTTCAACACCCATTGTGTAATAATTCAAAATAGCTCTAACCTAGGCTTCATTTTGTGGATGACTACCGAAACCAGGGTTTTCTAGCGAAAGGCAGAAACTAATTTCATAAAATAATGTATTGATATTTATATTTAATTTGAGACATCACTTGTGAATTATTATAAATTGAGTCATTCCATAACTGCACGGTAAAAGCAGCAAAACTGCTCTCCCTCAGTCCTAAAAGTATCAATATTCAAGAATGGTTTTAAGTAACTATGCCTAATTAATCAGTGTTGAAAATATTCTTCTATGGGTTGATCAAATCTTAACCATGATTTTGATGGGACTTTATGCAAAGTAAGTAAAATGCCACAAGGGATAATAGATAGCCCATCAATTCATTGGAGGAGTACTTAGAGTGGTTGAAATAATTTAGTGCTGAGAATAATAATAATTTATTATTTTCCATGTTAATCATGAATTTAAAATATAAGCCAACAGTTGATATAAGTGGGGCTAACATCCCATAAATCAAAATTCTCAAGCATCCCATAACATTGTTGTTGTGCCTCTAAAGTCTCCATTTTTCTTTATCTTGCAAGCAATTAAAGAGCCTTCAAATATAAATTGAAAGTCACTTTCTTTCTCACCTACATTTCTATCCTGCCTACACTTTCAAATGAGCCTTAAGAGGTAAAACATCTCCTTGTTCAGAAATTCTAATCTTACTCTTAGAATCCCCCAAAAAAGAAAAAATAAATTATATATATATATATAGGAACATCTCTGTTTCACTACAGTTGGTCCCTGTTTTTTGGTATTTTTGTCCCTCTACTCTCTTTTGGTTTGGTTAGAACATTAAAAGATTTGATTTTTTCTTTTTTTTGGCTCTTGGAAGCTTTTTGCATATGTAGTTTGGTATAAAGTTTCTGTTGCAGGTTAGAGTTTTCCAAGTTCACCTTTTTATCCTTCTTAAGTCTCCTGTTTCTCAAACAGAGCCATCTGTGATTTTCTTGAAAATAAAATGTTGCTCCTTAATTTGAAATCCCAGTGATTATTATTTTTCTTTTTAAATCGAACAAAAGTGTTATTGCTTATTATTTTTGCAAACATTTCAAGAAAAACAAGAAACATCTCTTTATTTGGAAACAGTAATGAATTATCTGTCTTCCATCTCTTTTGTGGTCCGATTTTCAGTCAGATGTCTTTGGAAGAAAGAAATTCCTACCCTCCAGTTATTTAATATTTAAAAATTTGTAAAAACAAATAAAAAAAACATTTAATGTTTTCATCTTTCTAAAAAAATCATTCAAAAGACCAAAAAATTTCAGTGCCATCAGTTTCCATTAGAGTGCGCTTTAGCTGAACCCATCAAATCTCCGATGAGTTTCAACCACCGGACGCGCCGCCTGCTCCCCGACGTCCGACCGGGCAGCACGCCTTCGCCTCCCGGGCCAGACTCCGGCGACCGTAGCCGAGACGACGGCCGGACGGCGAACTTCGACACGAACATGGTGATAATCCTGGCGGCCCTGCTCTGCGCTCTCATCTGCGCGCTCGGGATAAACTCCATCGTCAGGTGCGTCCTCCGTTGCGCCGGCGCCGCCAGCCCCGCCGCCTCCGGCGACCCGCCGCCGCGGTTCGGCCGGAGGGGACTGAGGAAGAGCCTGCTCCGCCAGATACCGGTGGAGGTGTACGCCGCCGTTGACGTCCATGGGGCGGCGGCGGCGGCCTTCACCGAGTGCCCGATATGCCTGGGCGAGTTTACCGACGGGGAGAAGATTAGGGTTCTGCCGGGCTGCCGCCACTGCTTCCACGTCAACTGTGTGGACGTGTGGCTGGCTTCGCACACGTCCTGCCCCACGTGCCGCCGGTCGGTGGCGGAGGAACAGGGGGACTCCGGCGGCGGCGGGGAGGAGGCGGGCGGCGGAGGGAGGCCAACGGGGAATGGCTCGGGCGGGCATGGTGACAGTTAATTTGCGTATGTAAAATGTTTTTCTTTTTTATTTTCCTTTTTTGTGAAAAAGTGAAAATTAACATCAAAGGAAAATATGGTTTGTTTGGCTGTTCAATTGTTTTGTGAATCTTGTAATTAGCGTCCCTAGTATACGTTTTTTAACGTGTTTAATGTTGTTAACTCGTTGGAGATTTTGCATTGTAGAATAATGTGCTCCTTTAACATAAAAATGGTTCGTCTACTAATCCATGTGTTTTTGTTGCATTTGAAAATCTAAATTTGTATTTTTGAAGTATTTTGTAAGTACATTAACAATCAAGCTGTTTGTGATACTCAGAGTGCTCGAGCTTAAGTTTGACTGAGCACAAGTCAAGTTCGAGCATCTTAAATTCAAATTAAGTTTATACGTTATAAGCTCGAGTGTTCAACGAGTCAATCAAGTGTAAGTGTAACTTAACTAAATGCCTTTAACTGGAGCAAAATTCAAGTCAAAATTGAGTTAAACATAAACCAAACTCAAGAAAAAAATAAAAAACATTAGTTGAATAGAAAAATCTTATTAAAAGTTTGAGTCGAGCAAAATTCGGACTAAACATGAACTGAAATAAAAAATAATTCTTATTTAAATAGAAAAGTTTTAGAAATTCAAGTCAACCTTGAGCGAAATTCAAGTAGATCTCGAGCCGACTCAAACATTTATATATTTTTTATGAGTCAAGTCGAGCTTTGAAAAGTCGATTTCGAGCAACAACTAAAGAAAACCGAGCTCGACTAAATAAAGCCAATACTTGGCTTGACTCGATAAATTCAAGTGTGCAATTCTCCATACAAATTTCTGTTTACCAACTTTTTTTTTTCATTTACATTACTTTTTATCTTATATTATTTATCACAATATTAAAATAACTATTCTCCCCTTTTTTTCCCTAAAAAATGACCCATGAGATATGGAAAATTGGAAATCTATGAGTTATGACTTCAAATCTAAATGAGACTGTGACTCCTTTGAAAATTACGTGGCATGGATAAGCATGAGAAAGACATATCATGTTAAGAACACTTAAGAAGAATCAAGAAAGAGTGCTCCTAGAATAGAATCTCACTAGCCTTTACCTTTTTTTTTTTTTTTNATTGCTTTTTAGTTATTATTATACAAGTTCACATTTAGATGTTCACTTAACTATGAAAGCACATTTTCACTTAAACATTTAAAACTATTTAGAAATCAAACACATGAATTGGGAATAAAGGATTAGATTAGGAAATTTTGAGGAGCATCATGCGACCTATTAACAAAGTGCAGTCATTGTCCGCTCCATGACTTGACAACACTATCTATATCCTATAATTTTCATAGGTTTTGTAAAAATATATGGCATTTCCTAAATGGACAAAGAGACATGGATCTAAATAATTTAATTGTCAATTTTGAAAACTTTTTCATCCACACCATATTCATATCTAGACATGCCCAAAACCCGGACCGGGTCACGGCCCGGCCCGGCCCGCTGGGTCACCGTGCTCGAAAACACTGATCCTAAACCGACACGGACCTATACTCATGCTGGATCCGTATCCGGGTCAGGTCCGAGCTTTTTTGAAGAAACAATAGAAAAAAAATAAAATAAAAAATAGAAAATGAGGGTCATTGACCCGGCCCGGCCTGGACCCGTCGGGCCGGGTCATGAAACGGATGACCCTTACACGGCCCGTCTGAAATCTGGGCCGGTCTTGGACCCGTGGTCAACGGGTTTGACCGGACTGGATCGGCGGGCCGGGCGGCCCTTAAGTCATGTCTATCCATATCATTATTTTTAAATATTTATTCATTTAAATAATTTTCAACATTAATCAATAAAATTATATTACAATATATATTTATATATGTGTGTGTAGTGGTGGCCCACCATAAATAATACTACCTCTTATTTTTCTTTTTTTAAATTTTATTTTAATTTTATTAACAGTTAACTAAATAAATGACGTTTTGCATCTTTTGTGCATATTTTTCTATTATTACACTCATCTAGCTAATAAATACACTACGTCTTTTCATATTCACTCTTTGTCTTTTCCTATTCACTCTTTATCTTTTTTTCAAAACATCAATCTCTATCTTCATTAATGAGGGTTATTATTGGCAAAAAATAAAAAATAAACTGTGTAACTTTTCAAAATAACATATTCAAAATAGGAGGGAGTATTTAATTATAGGGAAATGTTCACATGCCCACGGTGGGCACATGTTAATATGCCCACCAATTTATGTGACAAACACACATTGGTGATATATTTTTTTTAACATTAACATCACCAATGTGTGTATGCCACATCAACAGTGGACATATTAACATGTGTCCTACCGTGGAGATGTGAGCATTTCCCTTTAATTATAAGCACACAGTGTCGCCACTTTTTATCTTTCTAATTGTTGAGAAAATTGGAAATTTATTTCCTATTTTTATACTTACATTGTCGTTCAATCCATTTTAGAAACTAGTAGGACCCACAACCTTTGTCCATTAGATGAACGATGCCATTGGTTTAAACGGTGGAAGTACTCGTTTAAATGACATATTAATGCATGAATGCAGAAAATATAATAATTTGATTAACCCGTCTTGGAAAAAGAATGGAGGCTAGTGATATTTTTCTTCACACTAGGAAATAAGTTGCGTTTTTTTATACAAATTATTATCTCACATTAGTTCAAGGACACCTAGTGACAATGTTATTTCAGCAATACTCTTCATCTTCAGTAATGTGGACGCCTTAAAGAAAGAGTTTTCCACTTTGACTCATTGGTAGACTACAGTCCATGAATTGGACATATATCCATATAATAAAACTTATTTATAAATTTAATACATATAAGAAAAAAAGAAATTTTTATTTTACATTTTAAATAATTCTAAAAAAATGTGTTATTATGTATATTTAAAATGACACTCGTCATTTGTATGACTTACCTCTTCTACATTATAATAATTTTTCTAATTCATTTTCTATAATGAATTTGATAGATAAAATTATTTAATTAATCAAGAATTTCATTAGTATCCAATTTATATTAAGATTACGAAATACTAAAAGTTGATACATTCGGAAAAATTTGCATTTACATATATGGAGCGATTAGGTTTTTCGGATTATCGAAATTTTCCAGGCCAGCTTACCCATGAGCTGTCGTAATTCTGAATTACTTCTTGTAAGCGCGATTGTTCGGCAGTGTGGACGAAACTATTTGAATCATGAATTGAGTGTAATGGTCCAGTGAAATGATAAAGCGTATTTCATGCTGACCAAGTTTTTAAGCGAAAAACACGTGGTTTTCCTACAAATTATTTTTATTTACACATTTATTAAGTTTTCTATTTAATTGCACATATATCAACCTTTTTTTTTATGAATGATTGATTTTTGTTTCATTTTTAAATTATTTTGTTTTTAGTTGAATGCTTTTATGCAAGGCTTTNGATTTTTTTTTTTTAATAATTTCGTAGAGAAACTATTTTTCAATTGTTTTTCTTTTTATCATGTGTATAATATAACATCATATATAGTTCGACGGACCAAAAAGTAAAGCATTGATGTGCAAATTCCCTTCAAACTGGATCGGTAATATACCGTACAACCTCTTGACTCGGCCTCAACGACTTGCAAGTTACCGGGAGAGGTCTGACATAAAACCTCCGACGTTCAAGTTAATGATCTAACTTTTCTCAGTTCATGTTATACAGTAATATGAGGTATACTTGCACGTAATAACGTATAAGAACATGAAACCTCCTTTTATAAGGAGAATGTCTTTTTTCCACGATACTTTATTACTATGAAAGAGATGTACGTATATTTCATTTCCTAGCATGATATATCTCTTAGATTCTGTATGCTACAAGATACACTTTTCCATATTAGTATGACACATCTCTCAGATTTCAAGCCATATAGCGGTATTTATATATGTAAAAAAATTAGTAAACATCACCATGAGTTTTAAGGGTCAAAAGATAAAATTCGGGACGTGTCCAAAAACCAAAATGCAGCTTATGGACATCGTGGGTCGGGACAAGGGTCGTATCCAACAACTGATAAATGATCGCGGCCGCTAAGAGGCATTGTGGACCGTCAGCCTTCCGGGATGGAGCCAGGTCCAAAAGACTTTATTATAGTTATTTAGCAAGCAAAGTATATAATTGTTGCCATAGCAATTGAGAAAAATCAAACACTTGCAAAATTAACATTTTAAATTATTTAAGCTCAATTTCTAGTTTCAAACTTATATTTTCCCACAAATACAATGTTTTAATTTTGTATTTAAATTTTTTGTTTATGAAAAACTAAACCACATAATAGGTATAAAATAAAACATTTTTTCTCGTCACACAAACAACCGAAGCTTACACTATTTCCTCTCGATAATTTAATTGGGCTGGGCATCGGAAGTGCCTGCAGTAGGAGCGCACAAAATATGGCTAACTAAGACAAACCGACTAAAATCGAAACCTTTGTTTGAACCATATTGNTTTTTTTTTTTTTTTTTTTTTTTGTTTCTTTTAAATTTTGATTTTCGTTTCGGTATGCAGGGGCGGATCTAGAAAAAACTTTTGGGGTGGACTAGATTTGTTATTCGAACAAAAATGTCTGCGAACACAACTCGACTTGACTCGTAAAAACTCGAGCTAAGCTTATTTTTATAATTAAACGAACTAATCTTAAACACCTAATCGAATTTGTGTATTAATTTAGTTGAGTCTCACTTATTTTTTAAATGAGTCAAGCCGAGTTGATTCATTTATCAATCAAACACGAGCTTGAACATGAGATATTTTTTATTTACACCACTTGAATAACACCTTTAGAAAGGATATATAATTTTTTATAACACACACAGACAAGGCATACAATTTATTTATATATTAAATAGATAAAATAAATAAAAAAAATGCTTTCCAAAATATATAACTTATGAATTTTGGTATTTTAAAATTTTGCTTGAGATTCTTTTACATCACAAGA